TGGACTCCCTAGATATGCCACTGCATCTACTTCAAGGCCACTCAGTGGTCTCAAATATATTTATATAAAATTTTTAAAAGTCACCCCTAAATTCACTACCAGTAGTCCAAAGGTACTCTATATGCAAAGATTATAGTAAGATATTACCATATTTATTCGCATAAACGCCACTCAAATAAATTCCCCCTCTAGAGCCTCATTTTGAATAAACGTCTCCCAAGAATAAATGGTCAGGTCATTCATTTTCTCCTCAAACAAATGTCCCCTAAATGACTGTAAAAAAATCTAATGGAAGCAATATCATTCTCAACACCTTCTAATTAATGTTTTACTCCAGTAGAATTACATTTTTCTAACCTAGTTTGGATCAATCAGTCTTTATGATCACGTAATAACACATTTTCACGGTAATTATGTGTTGTAGTTCCACATTTACAGTGAAAGTTAGTGGTGTTTAGTTGTGTATACATATCCATTTCATACTAAAAAAACACCTCATTCAAATCAATTCGCCTTTAAAAACAAATTCTCAACAAAAAAAAAAAACGCCTTGAAGCATTCATTCAAATAAATACAGCATTTAAATGTCAATTAATTTCTTGATCTGAATTCTATTTGAAAGCTAAAGTAATACCATATTGGAAAATAAAAAAAATTAGCAATGTATAAATTATTTATGTGCATTTTAAAGTGGAACTTATTATCTGAATGGGAGCGCTGTTCACTCACTTCAATAATTTGCCACTTCTGGCCATGATCATATCTGATGAAAGCTGCAGCATGTACCAGACTAGTGTAAGCATGGACATCGGTCTTTATATCTTTCTCTTGCATCTCATTGTAAAGATGGAATGCTTTGCCAAAGGCCTGATGCTGGAATTTAAAAATAGAATATTGGTTTATAACTAGCTGTTTGATTGTTTGATTGATTGATTAATAACTGAGCCAAATACCATACAGATAATGAATGTTTATGAGTGCAATGGAAAGAATATTTTCATGAGTTGAAAGATTAACTGTTCCATCTTCTTTCAACCAATGAAAACATTGTATTAAGTGGAGGTGTGCAATGGGACAAAATGAACAATTAAACTACAATTAGACCACACAAGCAGAAAAGCCAATAACTAGCTTACTTTGACCATTCCTCGTATCATTGTGTTGTAACTTCTAGAATCCTTTTCTTCCATGCTTCCAAAAAGCTGTTCTGCTTCATTTCCATCTCTATGAAATAGCAAAAAAATATAAAGCTTTGATTGTTCTATTAAATATTATTTGACAAATACCTGTGATTTGCCCTGATGTTATAAGATATCATTGTTGTCCATACTGTATATGGATGTGATACAACATTATTCATTGATATGACATCTTCATGCCCATATATATGTGTGATATGACATCATTATGCCATATATGGTTGTGATATATCATCATTCCCATATATGGGTGTGATATGACATCAACATGCTCATATATGGGTGTGATATGACATCATCATATCCATATAAGAGGGTATTATGACATCATTATATAACCAAATATGGGTATGATATGACATCATTATGTCCATATATGGATGTGATATGACATCATTATGACCATATATGGTATAATATGACATCATTTTGTCCATATACGGGGCAAATCACAGATATTTATTTTAAAACTTGATAGTGTGGAGAGAACATTACATTACAATTAGTTTCCTGATAGTAAAAACATTTAAAAAGTATTAAAGCATTGAAATGTTAGTAATATTTGCATGCAGTATTTCCAAATGCATTATGTAATTCTTACTTCCATCTTTGGTTTTCCTCTTTAACTTCCACTTCTTGAGTTACAGCTTCTTCTTCTCCCAATTCTTTAATTTCCTCCTTAAAGATAACAATATTATAATTCTTTGTTATTGCTAATGACATAATTGCTACATCTTCTACAAGGCATGGATGTGATATATCTATATTACTATGTATTTTAACAGTATATTGACCCAATTCAAACTTTAGGAAATATGTTTTTAAAAATTTGTAAATATATTATTCAACTAACCTAATGAGTAAATATTTAGATTCCTTTTACATATAAATTGAAGTTTTTTTTTTATGTAGAATGATTATATTGTATATAGACAATACTGATGCAATCAACTATTTTTTTGTATGTAATCATTTTTTTAAATGTGTATATATTATATACCGTAATTAGGAGAGTCCCTTTTGTATCAAATTACATAAGTTTTTAGGTAGAATGGAAATTCTGAATATTGACTTAAGTCTTTTTTTTAAAGTATAATTAATTATTGAAAATGTTGTATACATGATCTCTAAAATGTATATGCAAATTATATGATTAATTTTATGTGCTGGTTTTATGGTTCTTTTTTTCTTGTAATTTGTCCATTGAGTGAGTTTTGTATATCAATTCATATAAGTGTGTTATAGGGTTTTATGTTAAACTGCCTTTGTAAATTGACGCAATTCAGTGATTTTATACTGCTTTGTCAATATGTTTTATGAATAAACGAGCAATGAATGTAGAAAATTGGGACAATTATCAATGAAATACTTGCTAACATCTACAAGCACAAGACAGGATCATTGGAGTTCTGTCTCTACACCTCACATTCTTTCCAGTCCTTGCTAAGAATAGTTAAGGTTCCTAAGATAGCTTCATTTGTGAAATTTTCAATGGGTCATTTTAAAACACAACAATCATTAGACAACCTGTTGTATATTGCAAAATGCTGCAAGTGATGTCATTTTAGAATACAATCTTAATCAATTTGCTGGTGTACTTACTGGAATGCTATCAATGTCATGAAATTCACTTGGTGGATCTTGGCTGTCATAGTAACAAAGAAGATCTAAAAGTTCATTGTTAACTGATAATGATACCTTTACCCCTGGAATGATCAGAAGAAAAAAAAATAAAACACATAAAAATGATAAAGTATTACTAAATATAGCAATATTAATAATGCATTCAATTTTCATTAAATATACAACATCTCAGAACTACAGTATACAATAAACTATTTCAGAGGTTGAAACCTGGAATTTTTATATGTAATGCTAAAATTTTGAGAATATCTGCAGATTGTTAAATGTTTAATATGAATACCAAACATTCTAATTATGATGATGATAATGTTGATGATGATGATAATGTTGATGACTATGGTGATGATGATGCTGACAATGATAATGAAGGTGATATTGTTAACACTTGGAATGTACAATAATCATCACTATTATCAAATTAGTGCTGTACTTGGTACCAATTCAGATGCTTCCCTTCAAAGGTCTTGAGTTCCTGTCAAACTCTAGGATTTCTTAATATAGTGTCCACTTCCTAAGCCTTAAAATAAAACCAAGTTTACACACCTACTATATATAAAACATTAAAAGTCAATTTGAATTGTTGTGCACTGTACCTGCATCTAAAAGTTTCTTGTGCATAGCCACAGCTTCTGTAACATCTCGTCCAATGATCCTCTCTAACAACGCCATTTCACTCGGCTCCTGTGATGTATATTCCCCTGTCTTCAGGTGGTAGCTCTACAGTTACAAATAGACATAAAGATTTAAAATGGAAAAGTTAAAACAAAATAAAATTAAAAAAAACTTCATATACCTCCCATGTGAGAGCAAACACCAAAATACAAGTGCAATACAAGTACAATACAGATGAGGTAAAATACCAAAAAAAAGAAAAAAAATTAAATGACTTTATCAATTCAACAATATTTTAAAAATCACTATTGGTATAACCATGGAGGGAATACATACTATATCCATGGTCTATTATCTGTTATCTTGTTGTCATATTAGTCTGCTTGCCTCCTGTTTGTTCACTCTCTCCTTCCCTCTATTGTTTACATGTTGGGCCTTGTGTGTTTATTGTTTATAATTAGATTCTCTTGCTAATACCTTATACCTGTATATATGACAATATTTTTAATATCCTATTTGTACATTCACCTGATGAAGACCACTGTGTGGTCGAAAGCTTGCGTATTGATAAAATGTGTTAGTCTGTAAAGTGCTGTTTGTCTTAATGATATACGATGTGTAATTTGAAAGTGAATTATTATAGCAAGGAGGCTTAGAAAAAACATGGGCCAGGCCTAGCTGAAAACGGTAACACAATTAAAACGATACGGATGGATAAATAAAATAATACAGTGGGCCCTATTCTAGGCCCTACAGATGTTTGCCACTTTACCTCTATTCGTGGTTTATCATGTTGATAAGCTTGAAATAGTTGAGGATACTTGCTCATAACATATCTTGCAGTCCGTTTTCCTGATTCCTTTGACAAGTAGAACCTCCGCTAGAAAAAAGAAACAAATGTAAAGCGGTTTCATTTTCTTTGGCACTTTAATAAAACTGATTCCGGTCTCCACTTCCTACAAGTTTGTGCCACAACCGTTAAGACTGGTCTTAAAATCAAAGGAGCATAGGGATTGAGTCTGAGGCTGGTCACACATTTTTTGTGTTCTCAGTCCAGGTCAAGACACTTTATCTACCTTTTCAATCCAGAATCAAAAATAGGCAAATGGTAAGAGTAGAAGTGGGCCTTTCCAAAGTGTCAATTACACTTAACAACTGACCAACCAAAATAGGGCCAGGAATAGGCATATGTTTTTTCCCACCTTAGCAACAATATCAAATGGGCGGGGCAGGGCTTAGCGAAAAGGTCCATAAAACAAGGCTGTGTTTAATTACATTTATATAATGGCTACATCTCTCCATAATGATTATGTCCATACAATAACTGGACAAATCTATTTTCCACCAGGGTACTGTAAATGAACTTCTTAACAGGCTATTATTAAAGGTCAAAGGTTGTTTTTTTTTTTTGTGTTGCTCAAGATAATGTCATATTGATAATCAAGGATTTAAAACTTTAGAATAAAGTTTTGAATGAGAGCATCAATTATGCAATAGCCATATGGATAAGAGCAACGTTTGAGCTTTGACGGTGGTGGGAGCTGGCGTGGTTATGGGTTGTGTTGTTACATGTATTGATCATTAAAACATATATGACAGAAAATTAAAGGTAAAAAAATGGGAATCTGAGAATTTTTCAGAAGATTTTCAGTCCCTTCACTGGATTTGGAAGACTTATTTATTTTCAGAACACTCTCAGAGCTTTCTATTTTTCTTAATATAAATATTACAACTGAATTGAGTACATTAGAGACTAGAAACATTTACCCTTTCACTGACTGTTCTTGGTATGAGGTAAGGATCATCTATGTAGCCATATGGAAAAGCAGTTGGATCCTGGAAGCAAATTTTATAAAGATACAAAATCAAATTATAGATTTCAGTATCTAATGTATGCTTAATATTTTAAAGCCCCACATATACATACTTTCCTGTACATTAACAGGTGATCAGTATATTTCCCCCACATAAATTAAACAATGTTCCCCTGTTAATCTTGTTAGGAATAAATACCTGTTTCCTACTGAAAACCTGTACAGCACCATTAACACTGCACCTTGGGTTATATATCATTATTTGTAGCTACCATAAACCATATTAACATAAAGAAAAGAGAATGTATACAGACATACTTTCCCAACTGTTTGTGATAACATCTTCAACACTGTCAATGAATCTCTAAAATTAGGGGAGACAAAAAAGAAATGCTATTTTTTATACACACACAAATGGGTAGATATACCGGGCACAGGATACACAATATTAAGGATTGTTTAGGATGCTCTGTGCACATTATCAAATTTTCTTTAACAAACAACTTTTGAATGCCTATATATAGTCATGATGTGCCTATATATGGTAATGATGGTGTCATCATGGTCATCATGTGATGTCATCATGACCATATTTAGGCTTGTCACATGTTTTTATCAACTAAAATTTGATAGTCTACTCTGGACAGGGATTTTTAAGAGAATTTAAATACTGTAAAAATAAGAGGATGGTATTTATCTTTTTGACTGCGCTCTTGAAAAGTTGTTCTTTTGTCAAAGAATAATCATGGCAAGTTTTTAAATCTTTTCTACACCAAATAAATGGTTGTAAGCCATTAGTGTATAATACAGTAAAACATTGCACTCCACAAAAAAATGAAATGGCACAAGAGACGCAAAAATTGGATGCACTATATCAAATTAGCTATTGATTGGGGATAGAGCAATTACGTGCAAATGAAAATGATAATGTCATGACTGACTTATACATAATGTACAGTATATGGAATGTTAGGATAAATACCTGCATTCTGAGTGGTCAACATCTGTTAATACTTGTTGTATGTTAATTTTATATGTACTGTAAATAGGAAAAGTTGGTATTTTCTGATGATGAATATATAGAGTTGCCATACTGATTAAATGCATACTCAAAATCTGTTATTAAACATTAATACTTACCTGAGACTATTAAAGTCGAACTTCTACAACAAATAAAAAATTGTTTCCTCCGGAAAATCTTGTACAGTAATATTATTATAATGAATGCACACTGTAAACATAACACACTGTACTGTAGCATACCTTTTTGTTTTCTTTGGAATCACTATCTTCTCTTTTGTTTGAACTTCTTTTATTAAAGCAATGGTTGTGAGATGCACATGCTTTGATCTTAAGAAATAAATATTAATATTTTTAAATATATATCAAGCATCTACATATTATATGCACACACTCAATATTACGAACACACCTAAAAATCAATTTAGACAATGCTCACAACACCAAAATTTAAAAAAAAATTAATTTCTCACACAAAAATCAAAGGTGGATTCAAATTCTTAGCACTTTAAAGGTGAACTCAGACAGTGTCATACAAAATTACAACAAATTGCATTGGGCCTGTATACAGTAAGTTAAACACAGATGTGATAGCTCTGCATCTTATTCTTCCTTTTTTTAGGACAGAGTTAAGTGAGGCCCGGAAGAATCATTCATTTAAAATTGTTTTTTTTTTGTAGTTAAGAGTCTATGTGACTATAGGATAAGAGGTGCCCAAGTCCGGGAAAGACTCAACTGGTGCGGACTGGGGCACATTATGACAGAGCCCTAGTCTGCGGCTTGGGCGTATCCCACTGCAGTTTGGAAGCTAGTATTACAGTTTGTGTGATTCAATAAAACCATAGTCAAGTTTTTATTGTTTTTTTGTTATGTAAACAAGTGGAAATTAACCCGCAAGTCACCAAACAATGTTGACGTTTTAAATACTTTGAAAGTGGGCCATATAATTAAGCTTAATTTAATTCAAAGGCCCAGAACCTCCCTTGATAAAGAAAACAATAACTCTAAAAACAATAATAAAATAATAATATGAATGAAAGGATGAAGAATATGGAAGCTAGCGGCTAGGTAAAGTGGGTAAGAGTCGGCTGTATCAGCCTTCACAAGACTATCACAAAGACACATTAAAATCAAATAATTCCATTTTGGCTTCTGATATAATTTATATTTTTATGCACTTCACATTATATATTACTGTACACCCACAAAAGTAAATCATATACAGAAAGAAATCTGGACTCCCTACAGCTGTACTGTCAACAGCACCTTGATTGGCAATCAATGAATCAAATTAGTTATAAACAATTCTGGAGTTGAGAATGGATGTCGGATGATACGACTTCCAACTGAAGGCCTAGACCTGTCTTTTTTTATTGACTTTTGAACTTGTTTTTAAAGGTAAATTTGTTAACTAACATCAATACTGGCAAGAATAACCACGTTTTAAAATCATTTTGTGCAGATTTGGCTAGTAGGCCTACTGTAATTAATATGCCTTTTCGTAGGCCTACTACAGTAGGCCTAGGCTAGGCTAGAGTGGTGAAAATGTACATGCCAGGAGGAAGACCGGGAGGAAGGGATTCCCATGTCAGTCAGCACTCGACACACACGCAGGGCAGTCAGTCATGTCATATCAAGTCTGTGCTCGTTTCAATTTTACGGCTCTTAAAAAGACTAATAATTTTGGCCTAAGCTTACATAAAAAATGATATAATTTTTAAAAAATACTATCTACAATAGTCACTTCTTACTTCACTAAAAGAGGAGAAAAAACATTTTTGCTACATGCGCAAAAACACCGAATGGGCGCCGCCATCTTGATGATGAGAGTGCGCCCTCTTGTAAAGTATTATGGAACGCCGTTACTGCCTTGGTATGGAACGCCGTTACTGCCTTTGGTGGCTCTTTCCGTTCGGCGCATTTGCTATTCGGCCCTTTTAACATTACGGTACGTTCGGTGCTTTTACATTACGTTCGGTGCTTTTACATTACGTTCTGTGCTTTTACATTAAGTTCGGTGCTTTTAACATTACGTTCGGTGCTTTTAACATTACGTTCGGTGCTTTTGCCGCACTTCGGCTCTTTTATCATTTGGTGCTTTTACCTTTCAGCCCTTTCATCATTACGTACGGCTCTTTTATCATTCGGCACTTTTACCA